CAATAAACTCAGATTTTGTATAATCGGAAGCCAATCTTGAACCTCATCAGGGTCTTTGTCATTACCTATGGGGGGAAACTCAAACTTGTATACCTTAAAAACTTCAGATAGTAGGTATACGGGATCCACAAAATGGTTATAGTATTGACGTGTATGCGAGCAAGCTGCTATCACATGAGAGCATGGATACTTCAGATCTTGAAAAAACCCGCAGTCGTACGTTCTGTCCCTTAGATTTACTCTTAACGACACAACTTCAATCCCTTGAAGAGGTCGCAGCAACTCTGTGACACGAAACATTTCATGCCTTCTAGATAAGCTTGTTACAGATATTTCATTTGATGCAGAAATTTTTTTCTGTAGATCTGCAACTAATCTAGGGTGATAGACATGACCGCCTTGCATCCAGGTTTGAGCTTGTCCCCCGAGCTTCGCAAAAATCACCCCAAACAAAAATATGTAGTTTTTACCAAAGCCGTTACAGGTAAGTGACGTGCACCCTTTAAGGTTGAATTGATTACCTCAGCCAAGTTGGTCGTCATGTGTCCATATCGATATCCACCATCATATGCGTTCGTCCATATTTCTTTATCGATGAGGCTGATGTAATTGTATCCTTCCTCGTTCTTCGCCTGCAAATCTTGAAGCATTGATTCAAACGTTCGAGGAAGTAGTTCGTAGCCTGATCAACAAATGTATAACTTACTGACTTGCTTTCTTTGCAAAATTAAAACGATTGAAAGAAAACAAACTACATCAGTTTCACTTACCCATGCGCACAATTAATTGACGCTCATCATTCTTCTTGTACCTTCCATGATAGTTCGCAACAATGTGTCGGAGATAATACCTATGTTGGACAAAGGGTGGTTGCCACATTGGACCCAAAGACTCCATTGCTGCTTTGATCCCAGCTCCGCGATCTAAAATGACACAGATGTTTTCCCTCGTGATAACATGTGCATGTAAATTTAGTAGGAAAAAAGCCCAAGAATCTGTATCTTCTCCTTCGACAAGAGCAAAAACAACTGGAAGAATATTGCGATTGCCATCTTGGACAACTGCCAATAATGAAACTTGCTTGTATTTTCCATACAAGAATGTCTCATCGATCTGGACCACAGGCTTGCAGTATTTGACATCATTAACGCACTGTGGGTAACTCCAAAAAATCTGGTAGAATTGGCTTCGATCACGAAGAACTCGATCATTATGGTATGCATAAGAGGTTTCAAAGTCCACAATTGTCCCAAGATTCAACGTCCGCACCAGCCTAAACCAACCTGGAAGTTCGTTGTAAGATGCATCCCATTCGCCATGAAGTTTGACAATGGCATTTTGTTTTGCCAACCAAGCTTTTTTATAGGAGACAGTGTACCCATACTACGATTGTATAGCTGAAATCAACACTGCAACAGCTATATGAGAGCTTGTTTTTTCCATGGGCATGATGGCTTGGCATATCATTTCAGAGTCCAAGTTGGGATGATCTTGGTTGACCCCTCCAGCACAACATATGTGAGGACCGTTGTATACTATTAGTTCCCATATGTTGTTTTCCTCTTCATTTTCGATACGCGAACCATCCAATTGCATCCGTTTTCGCGTCGGACACAATAACATACATATTTTTCGGTCATCGATCGATTGACTCTGGACTGAACAAAATTACGGATATTGTAATTTTTTATAGCCATCACCGCTTCTTCTTTGCTTTGAAAACTCCATGCCTAAATATAACTCACCATTATTTATTGATGAGTAATATCCATAGTCACCGAGATGAGGCATATCCGCAAATTCTGGCCCGTACATTGCACCATAATCAGCTTCATACATGTGTGCAGGAGGGTCAGTTTGTGCCACATTTCCTGGAACTTCATCATCATCGGAGTTGAATTGCGGTGATTCTGGGTGAATAAATAGTCCAGTCTGAGCACCATCCGCACCAGGCTCACGAAGCGGTTCTTCTGGTGGAGATGATGGTTCTTCCATGCTCTCCACATTTAGGTCGAAGAACCTACTACTTGCACGCCTTCCCCTTGAACTGGAAGGCATATCGACATTGAGATCGAAAAGCTCACAATCGAATGCCTCCCCCTAGAGCTTGAAGCCATCGTGTCAAATGGAAACTGCACAGATGGTTGCGTCGATGGCATCTCCATATGGTCAAAGAAATTTGCAGATGAATGCCTTTCCCCTTGAACTGGACGCAGTGTTGCCATATGGATTGTTCGTGGACACACCTCGGTACATATCATAAGGAGTTGCGGATGAATGTCTCCCCATTATGGCATTAAAATCATTACACATTACTGTAGTCGGGCTGTCAACTTGATCAACTTGTTCAGCCAGCCCATAGTGGGAGCTTAATGATTGACCCCGAACAGCACGCACTTGAACAAAATGTGCATACATCTCAATAGCGGCGTCTGAATAATTACTTTGAGCTTCAACCATAATTTGAACATCATCATTGTTCGAAAGTTCGAACGCTGTATAAGTTAATGACAACAATGATGTTGGAAATCTGTACTGCAACGACGACATTCTTCTACTACTTCCACCATGAATCTTCCTCAAAATCTTCGTTATCAGCTCCTCAAGAGTTATGTTTCTCTTAAATGATATTTTAACACGCTCATTTGATACGAAAACAACACCGGTTTCATCTTCTTGAATTTCACCATCATAATAAACAATAGCTGAAAGTCGCACCATTCTTTGAGTTTAAAAGTGCGGCAATATTATATCTGCAAAAAAACAAATAACTGAAACAAACCTGATTAAATAAATTATATATATGAACGAAAATATAACACAATAAATTTTTTTACACATCAACGTAAACAATTTAAATAATATAATTTTATATTATTACCTGTACCGCAAAACTATTTTGACGTATGCTCATGCTTTTCAATTTTACAAACATAAAAATTAATTGAAAATAATTAGTATAATATTTTTTTTTCAAATAATCATAATAAACAATAAGTATAATAAAAAATTTATAACGAAAAATGGCACGAACTTCTAAATCAAATATGAGAAAATTACCAGAATTATTACTAGTTGACGAAATTGTTATATTAATTTATAAGTTAAGAGGAGATGTGAGAAACTTAACCGGGAGTGAAGGATATTTATAACCATATAAGACGCGGTACCTGCACCACACTATATGTAATTATTCAGATAAAATATATAGCGCGGATCAGGGACCGCGCTAAATATAATTCATACCCAGGTATAGCGCTGAGCAAGGGCAGCGCTATACCCATACGTGGCGTATAACGCGGATCAAGGGGTGCGCTATACTCACGTGTAAGCCATGTCAGGATATAGAGCGGTACAGGGGGCGCGCTATACCCCACGTGGCGCCAAATCAACATATAGCGCGGGGCAGGGAGCGCACTTTACTGCTACGGGTGTTAGATCGAAAAATATAATCTGACCGATGTTAGATCGATAAATATATCGGTCACCGGTGATTTTTCGAAAAAAATGCCGTTAAGCGAAGTGTTAATTAATATCTTTAGTCGTCCAGATTTTTCAATCATTTAAATTATTTATTTAATTATTAAATTATTTTGTAGGTTTTGATTTGGGTCGTTCTTTTACTCGGACTCACCGTGGTCAAGGATATTATCGTCGGTAGCGTAGTCGAGGTGTATCCCTTATTCGTGTTAAATTTATTGGTTGAAATGCGTGGATTATTTGAATGACTGATAAAATTATTGTGAGCATGTTAATTGTTGTTAATTGTGAAACTGACTGCGTAATTGTATTCGAAAATTATGACTTGTGAGTTTCTGAGCCTATCGGAATTGCAATTATGTATTCATAATAATTGTCTGATTGTGATGATACATATATGCGTATGTGTGTTTCGGATTTAGTAAATGCCTCATAATTATTATTGTTCGGATCAGATCAGACTTTGGTTATTATGTCATTTTGCAATTATATTGGGATGATTTTTAAATTGAGAAAGTGCAGTGCATTCACTCGACGGGATGAATGTCACTTTTCAAATTTAGTGGACTCTGTATTTATGACAGACCCTATACTCATGGTGAGATTGACGGGTATATAGAGTGGTTCTGAGGAACCCACTCTTTTGGGTGAGATTGGTGTATGGGTGGGTGCATGTGCATCTACATAACATTTTAACTCATGTTTATTGATGATTCGGTATGTGAATATAATCTGTGATTGTTTTGGATTATGCTTAAACATGTTTATATATGTACTTTAGGGACACACTAAGCCTCGTTGTTTACTCCCTCTTAGTCTCTTCTTTTAGATACTCGGACTTATGAGACTCGGTACTTGGGATTCGACATTATTCAGATTTTTTTTTGGATAATTTTAATTTTATTACTCAAGGTGCATAATTCTGCTACATAAAAAATCCAACAAGTAGGATAATGAACAACCTACTTACAACATAATTTTAATGGTCTAGACCCCAACTATTACAAAGATAAGTATTGAGACTATCTAATCTATTTATATTCCTTCCGCTTAATTGAATACATACAATCTCCTTAATTGAACTCAGAATTTCGTTTTCACTTCTTGTGCTTCCTCGGTACAATCTTCTAATTCTTTCCTCCCATAAGGAATAGATTAAAGCACACCAAGAAAGTTTCAAGATAGTAGTGAGGAGGGACACCTTTCCAAGCACCACTAGCCCAGTCTATCATGCTCATCCAAGGTAAAGTAGGGGTGCTTAAGCTGGAGAGATTCATAATAGCCTTCCATAAGGAAACTACCATAGAGCATTCACTAAACAGGTGGTCCGTAGTCTTCGTAGCTTCATTACAGATTATGCAGGAACCATCGGTAATGATTCCCATTCTTCGGAGCCTCTCCCTAGTTGGGAGTCTATCCAGGAGTGCCATCCATGTTATCATGCTATGCTTGGGGACGTGTAGAGGAAACCATATCAATTTGTGCCATGAGACTTTATCTCATTTTACCCGTAGTTCTTTCTAGAAATCTTTTATCGTCGTAGCTCCTTTAGATAAAACAGGGATTGCATCTGCCCTTAGTTTAAGTAAGCGCCTGATACACCAGCTGGAATTTGCTACATCATCCACTAACAGAAAGTCCGCACCTTTAATAACGTAGCATTTGATCCAAGCTATCCACAATGATCCCTCTCCCGCAAGGATGTTCCTGATGAGTTGTATCATACATGCTTTGTTCCATGTTTTGATATCTTTTAATCCGAGTCCTCCCTCAGATTTCCCTAGGAAGATTTTATGCCAACTGACTCTTGCTCCAGTGGCAGCTTTATCAGTACTTTTCCAGAAAAATCTAGAGCAAAGTTGTTCAATCATGTTAACAATAGCCTGAGGCAGAATTAACTGCCTACACTAGTAGTTTGCAATACTGAAGATAACAACTCTGATAGGTTCTAATCTGTCGGCGTAGCTCAAGTGCTTTCCCGACCAATGATGTAGCTTGGATTTGATCTTATCAATAAGAGCCACACAGTCCTTTTCAGTGAGTTTCCTTGTGACTAAAGGAACCCCTAAGTATCTCACTGGCAAACTGCCATGTTTGAATCCCGTGGATTGTAAAATTTGCTCAAGATCTCTGTAAGTGATTCCAGCAGTATAAAGTTCACATTTGGCAGCATTAAGTTTAAGACCAAACATTTCGTAGAATTGATCAAGGACGTTGATGACTCCAGAAACATATTCAATATTTCCTTTGCAGAAGATAAGTATGTCATCTGCAAATGAAAGGTGAGTGAGGCCAATCTTCTTACATTTTGGGTGGTATCCGAGCAAGCCTTTAGTAGCAGTCATGTTTAGGATTCTAGAGAGCACATTCATTGCAAGAATGAATAAGATAGGAGAAAGAGGGTCACCTTGTCTTATTCCTCTTGCACCCTTGAAGAAGCCAATCAAAATTCCATTGAAAGAGATGGAGTATCTTGCTTCTTTAAAGCAAGTTTAAATCCAACCAATGAAAGTATTCGTAAGCTGTAAAGCCTTAAGTATAGTAGAAATGAAACTCCAGTGTAGAGTGTCAAAAGCCTTTTGTAATTCAACTTTCAAGGCACATCTAGGAGAGATAACTTTCCTTCCATAACCTCTCACCAGTTCTTGAGCAAGGAGGGTGTTGTCAACAATATTTCTTCCTTTTATAAAATTCGATTGGTTGAGAGATATTATCCCTGGGAGTAGTGTAGTCAACCTTTTGACTAAGATATTTGTAATTGTCTTGTAAATAACAGAGCAACAGGAAATTGGCCGAAAGTCCCTAACTTTATTGGGATTAGGGACTTTTGGAATCAAAGCATTGGTTGTAGCATTGAAAGCTGGAAGGATGAAAGTCTCTTGAAAAAAGTATTTAATAACATTTACAACGTCTTTGCCAACCAATAACCAGGATATTCTGAAAAAGTATGGTGTGAATCCATTAAGACCATGTGCTTTGTCATTTCCTTGGTTGAAAATTGCTTCTTGGATATCTTCATCAGTTACTTCCTTTACAAGGTTAGAAGAAACATATGAAGGAAAATTAAATTGCATCAGAACCTTTAAAAGATTAGGTGAACAATTTTTAACCCCGGAGTCCGCTGTACCTAAAAGGCTTGAGTAAAATTTAGTAACTTCGGAAGCCATTTCATCAAAAGATTCACGCTTTTTACCTTGGTCATTAACAAGAATTCAGATGGTGTCTCTTTTGTTTTTACTTGAGATAATGGAATGGAAAAATTTTGTGCATTTGTCTCCTTCTTTTAACCATTTCACTTTTACCTTTTGTTTTAAGTACATGCCCTCTGCTTCTTCAAGAGATAAAAGCTCATTTTGTAGCATCAACTCTTTTTGAATAGTGTCCTCTCCTCGTAGAGTAGATAGTTGAAGTTGTTCAAGTTCACTTTTCTTTTGACATACTCAAGCAGAAATATCACTGTAACATTATTTGTTTAGGGTCTTGAGGCATGGTTTTAGACGTTTAAGCTTGAGGAAAATAACCTTCATCAGATTTCCTTGAATAGGTGTCTGCCATGACTGTCAAACTTCATTTAAGAAGTTAGGATGAAGAGTCCAGAAGTTGAAAATTTTGAATGATTTAGGTCGATTAGTTTGAGCTTCCCAGTTGATCCAAACCAGAGCCATACAATGATCAGATGCGCCTGGTGCATGAAATTCCACAAATGAGTTATGGAAAGTATTTACCCATGTGAATGAAGGAACAAAGAAAGGGTGGTCTTAGAGATGAAGATCATGAGTGACATCTTGGAAGTCCTTCATGTCTGGAGTTAATATTGGACTATAGAGCTCGTAATCTGAACTTTCCTTCGACTGCAAGATAACGTTGTAGTCTCCTCCTAATATCCAAGGTAATGATCTGAAATATGTTTCCAAGTCACGTAGATGCTGCCAAAGTTGTCTTCTAGTTACACCATCATTACTGGCATAGATAGCTGTAATAATGAGGGGAGCACTCTTGAAAGTGCATCTGATAGTAATTGACTGAGCTGTAGCTTGATAAAGGGAGATGCTTAACCTTTTTTCCAAAGGATCCAGATCCTCCCATTTGAAGCAAATTCATAATTTGAACAGGTATACCATTCCGTAAATTTGGAATTGAATATTACCGCTGAATTCTCCAATTTGACACGAGTCTCGAGTAAATAGAGGATTTCAACTTTATTTTAAACCTTTGCATGAATTTTCGTTGTTTTAGAGGATTATTAAATCCTCTAATATTCCATAAACTAATAATCATAGAGAAGGATGACCCATTGCACCCCCATTACTACAACATGTTGGACTTTTTGCATTGTCTAGGTGAATTTTCTTTTTTGATTTGAGGTCATTAACCAAACCTGCTACACCTAGAGATGCCGACCGAATTTTCCCATCTTGATCTTCTATTATTGGAGGAATTTCATCTATTATTTTAAGGACATCAAATCTATTTTTGGATCCAGTGAAAGCTGCTTTTGACTTAGCTAACCTTCCTCTGCCCCATTTTTGAATTGAATGGCTGGTAGCAATTATTTCCACGGTTGGGACAGCTGGTTCGATAGTGGATTGAGTTTTTTCAATTGTTGGAACGGTGAGTGCGCAAGATTGGTCAGCTATTTTGTCACCTTGCATTGATGAAGAAACGTCCAATTGATTTCTATTTGCAACAGTACCTTTAGGATCATCAATTGTTTCCATTTGTTGGTTTTCAATTTCCTTTTGTTGTACGTCCTTGACTTTGGCATCGTCTAACCCCAGTTCATGCAATAAATCAATCCCACTAGCAGTTTCGGCTTGTAAGGTAGTATTATGGTCTCTTTTTTTTCTCCAAACTTACGAAGTTGATGAGGCAGTGAGAGATTGTTCATAACATCCTTTCTCATTATGTTCAAAGATTTTGCATTTTCTACAGCAGGGTGGTAGCCATGGTATTTCAACAGTAATTGATGTTGTTTTCCCATTGCTAAGGATAACATCCACAACCTTAGGGATTTCCTCGTTCACCCCAATTTCAATGCAAACTTTTGCAAATTCGAGTCTTGATTTGGAGGCGGTAATTGAATCCATGGATAATGGAATTCCTATAGCAATGACAATGTAGCTTAATCCTGCTCTTGAGAAAAGTTCTAGAGGTATATTATATAAATGGACCCAGATTGGGATTCTTGATAGATCAAAATCGAGCCTTTTTAGGTTGGTTTCCATTTTCTGAGGATCAAAGGTTTGTTTAGAATATGCCAGGGACTGTTTTCTAGAACCCAATCTCTAGTCGATTCAGAATTGAAAGAAAAACTGTAGAGGTTGTTTCTAGCTAGATTAACCTTGACATGAGCTCCTTGCAGTGTCTTTTTCCAAAGATTATCGACAATTCTTTGCAGAGAATAAAAATTCTGGGCAGCTCCAAGAAATTGCCCAACCAAGGAAAGTTTCCATTCAACAATACCAACATCAAATACCTCAGAAGGAGGTTGAACTGAAGGAATCCCTTCTTGCGATTTTGGGGGAAAATACTCTAACTCTTGCCCTAATGAACACCCAAACAGTTTCCTCCAGCCCATTGAAGGGGAGTAGAGAAGATAGGCAGGAGAGGAAATCGGAAGGGAAATCAATTGAAGTCACCGGAGAGACGACGAAAATCTCAGTTTCTATTAGACCTGCTAACGTGCGCCCAGAGATTCCACTTGCAGAGAAAACATCACTTTTAACATTCCATTATTCAGATTTCATTATTTCATAGTATGAAAATTTTCTCAGATATTCTATTTTCTATTTTATTGGATAGAATTTTATATGATTAAACATTTTGGACAACATACATAAATTCTATTTTGGCTTGTGGATTTAAACTTTGGGATTTGATATATATTTTATTGATGTTAAATTATTATTCATTTATTTTAAATACTTAAAGTATTTAAACTCAATAAATATTGAGGGGGCGTTTGGATGGGGGAATGTGGGATTCCCATGGGAATGGAATCCACATTCCCCATTTGGTTAGCCCGATAATCTCATTCCCGGTAATGTGAGATTATCAATAGTGGATTTTTTTGTGTATATTATCAGGAATGTTATTACCCACTTTTCCTTAGATATTGTTGAATAATCGGCGTTTTGGACTAAAATGCCCTTAAATTTTTATTTTTTTTTCAAAAATATACTTCTTCTGTCATTGAATAATAAAAATTCTACGAAGGTTAAATTACAAATTTATCCTTAAACTATTTTAGATTTACAAAAAAAGTCTATAAATAAAATTTTATATGAAGTTCAGGGGTTAAAATAAAATTTTACCCTCTCATTAAACTTTTTTATATTTTTAATTTTGTAAAACAATTATATAAATTTTATGAATTTAATTTTTTTTAAAGAAAACATATAAATATTTTGCAACTTGTTAAAAATAAATATATAATAAAAATAATTTGGTCAAATTGTATTCCAATAATATTTTATTCCTTTAACCAAACACGGTAATCTTGCATTCTTGCTAAGTCAACCAAACATAAAATACAACATTCCCAGTAATCTTATTCCCTAGTAATCTTACATTCCCACTGATAATTTTACATTCCGTGAACCAAACGCAACCTGAAAGTTTATGTTAACGTATTTTTAAATACTGTTTGAGCGAGTTTCTCGAAGTCAAATTAATAGGCCTCATGTATCCGGCCTAACCCACCCTAGGTCGGGTAAAGGGGTTACGATATAGTCTTTTACTTGCAGAACACTTTTACATGAAGTAAGAAATACTTTCTTCTACTTTCTTATTCTAGGTTTCATATTTGAGTAAATTTATTATTGATGGAAACGATCTTCAAGATCCATCCAAATATCAGCAGCAGTTGAATGATATAAGAGACTAGCTGCAATGTCCTTTGAGACTGAATTCAGAAGTCAAGAATTGACAAGATTATTTACCCTCGTCCAAGCAGAAAAATTAGGATGCGCTAAAGGAGGAGCAATGATAGACTCATCACAAAACCCAGTTTGTTTTTGCAGATAAAGCCATGAGCATAGAACGCCTCTAGCTGTTATAATTATCATTACCAAGAGGCTGAGTAACCAACAACATACCAGGATTATTGGATTGATGAAGATAATAGGAGTTGGCACCATTATCAAATAAATCATTTATCTTCACATCACTCATGTTGAAGAACAAGAGGTTAAAAAAAGCATCTGATATAAAAAAGCAGCGACAAGGAAGAAAAAACTAATGAGAAAAGAAAATCATCTGATAACATGTAACTTTATTATTTCTTGAAGAAGTTTAAGTTACAACAATGAGGATTCGATCCTCTTTAAATAATAATATAAGGTCT